CCAATATGACCTTCTTAGTAGCAGTACCTCTTTCTGGAGAAGCACTTAAAAGCTCATTAAATAGCGTAGCTGAAGATCTCATTTTTAGTTCAGTGGCCAAAAAGAAATACATCTGGTTCGATAACTTTCGAAAGCTTATTAGCTTTCTTCATTTTAACTTTTTGGCAACAATCTTCAAAACTTTTAGCTGGCCTACCAGCAGAAAATGTCGGCTTACCAATCTTAGAACACACAAGTTGTGGCAAGTCTATTTCAAATCCCTCTCTCTCTTTTTCGGAAAACGTTTGTCCACCTTAGGTCCAAATTCTGAATTAACTTCGCACGTATGTTTTTAATTTAACAAATTTGATTCTATCACTAGATCCTAAACTGATATTCCCTGGTACAAAATCCATTATTCCATCAAGGCTTTAATTTTTTGGGGTCGACAGCCAAAAATTAAAAATTTCCTGTCTGGAAATTTTAGGAGTCATTTTGAAAATTGAAAATAAATGTATTGGTGCCGCAGCTAGCCGCAGAATGTTTTCGTGGATTCTATTAGTATATACATCAATTGAGAGAATAGGTATAGTAAGTGATCTATATTCCGCCATATAAGAAAGATTTCTTCTACAAAGCAAAAAAATAATAATTTGGTACTCACCAAAAACTCAAAAACTTTATCAGCTCCAAAAAAATATGTGCGTCCACTTCGGTAACAATTTTTACATTTCCTGAATTTTCTTACTTAAAACAATGACGGAGAAAAATATGAAGTTAAAACAAAGTTTCTTTAAACAAGTTATTGAGCCTTAAAAATACTCAGTTTTCGTTGCACGCACAATTTCATTTTTTACTTATTGCTTACTATGACTTTTGGATAGCGTTATGTTTATATGTAGCCAAATTTTTTCAAACAAAGTTGTATTTACTCTTAAGTAGACAATATTCTTGCATATTTAACAAAAATTTTATTGAAAAATTACAAACAAAAAATTTAATTAAATTACCCTAGCTTTGCACATTGGACCACTGTGCGCTGGCTTAGTCATGTCGTACGAATGGACAGAAACGCTCCAGCTGTGAAGGTATTCATCGCGGGTCGCGAAGGCGGAATATGAAAGCCGCCAACGCGATGAAAGGACCAAGTGGAGAAGGACTTCTTCACCTGGCATTTAACGCATCAGTTGGCACAGAAGTGAAATGACTGACGTACTGCTTTGGACTCGGCCAAAATCTCTTAGATGGTTATAGTGCCAAATAAGAAGAGGAAGAAGAACTTTGTGCGTCCCAGATGCTTTTGCTCAAGCGAAGATTGGACCAACCTATCAGTAATGTATTTATTGTCTGGCAAAAGATTCAGTTGGTTATTTTTATGTAACCTGCTGACTTTAGCTTTTACAAATTGGACAGCTATGGGAACATTGTACTTTCTCGCAAAACAAAACCATTTGAGTAAATCCTTTTTTGGTTCTCACACCGTTTTAAAGTTTGCCGTTGCCCAAGTCCGGCTTCTGTATTTTACAACGCTTTTATCAACTTGCAATGTTGTGTGTCCAGACCACAATTTATACTATAAATGTAGCAAAGCTATTTATAGCAAATTCTAGATATCAACCTAGTCTAGATATCAACCTAGTCTGGATATCAACGTCGTTGTAGGCATCATATTAAAGAGATACAACTAGAAGACTCTAGATGTCACCCCGCCAGAAGAAGTTAAATATTGCGCTTAAATATATGCACTATTTACATACGTTACAGCGGAAATGGACGACACGCCATTTCTTTAAAATTAACTGCTTCTATATGTATGTATGTACATATACTAAACGTATGTATGTATACTAAACGTGAGCAAACAACATTTTTTTTGCATTGTCTTCTGTTTTCTTTTCACTGCAAGTTAAATTATTTTAATATCTATTGCAAAATTTTGTACAGACAAGACTAAAAAGTAGAAAATAAATAAAACTTTTTAATTTTTTCGTTTTCAATCTCATAAATGGTTTATAATGACTTTTGCTTAAATTTCAAAGTCAAAAGTTATCAAAACAAATTCTGTGGAACTAAGATATTTTATTTTCTAATTTTTAGTCCACTTATAAAAGCGTTGTATATTAAAAATTTTTTTATTTAATTTTTTTTTATCTTTACTCTTGCTTTCATTTTGACTTATTTTGATAACAATAAATTTTTTTAAACCAAGGAAAGAAACCGATTCAAAATAACGTTCCGGTTTCGGTTTCAGTTTTGCAAAGTGTTTCGGTTTGGGTTTTGGTTTCGTTCCAGTTACGGTTTTGGAATAAAAAAATGAAAACAAGTTTGACAAGAAAAATTATTTATTATATTAACGTCACAACGTTAAGTAACATTGTAACATTGTAATAAGAATGAGTTGTTGCTGATAGGTATTTACCGTCTTTGGCCACTAAGAGAGGACGGATAATTTCAGAACTTTTCGGTCCACTAACAAAATCGGAATTACGATTCGCGTCTAAAAGCTTAAACAGACGGCAGCGTTGATCCGGACTAACTCGGACTAAATCCGGGTCAACTGCCGTTAATTCCTGAGTTGATCCGGATCAACCATATTACGAAAAAATCTCCGAGTACCAGCTGTTCCACTTGCAGCTTTTTAGTGGCAGCGTATGATGGTTCAAGTAGCTCCACGATATCTGTGATTTTTTCTTCATACTAGTCAACAAATATGTCATGCAAGTCAATTTTTGTGAATCGGCATAGTTATGCTACTGAAGAAAAAAAATTTTGGTTGCTAGATCCTGCATTGAGGTTGAGGTTAAATTGTTTTGAAGTTGCACTTATAAAGGTTACAATGTTTTGTTTTAAAGACTTGCATCAATCAAGGAATTTCCAGGGCTGCCAGATGTTTAGAGTCTAAAATCTGTACCCGGCACGGACAAGAAGTGGTGGGTGAAAAAACCGTTCAAAATCCGTACGCTTAAATTTGTTTGGCGAGCAAAAAAACAAAACGTTTGTACTTCGGTGAACACAGGAATAGTACTTTTAATAACATCAAATGAAGCAACTCATATTTCCGCTAATCCTATTTATTAATTGCTTCACAGACAACCTTATTATTTTTCTGACTAGAAATTTTTAACAAGCAGGGTGTTCTTATTATACGTACATATAACAAAACTTTTCAGGTAGGTTGTCGACCCTACCGAGTAACAGTATAATTTTCGAAGCGATGGTTAAAGTTGAAAAAATAAATTTTATTTTTTTTTTAATTTTACGCGACAAACACTCCCAATAATCGAAGTCTACCAATATGTTGTTATATATAATTTTAAAGCCCTATAAATCCTATTCTGATGTTTGATTTTTAAAATCGGATGAAAAATAGTCAAGCTGTTATAGATAAGTCCCTCAAGTACGAAAATAACGCATTCTTTAATAAACAATAATTAGGGTTCAGGAACTATAAGAAAGGCTGAGCTCCAAAACGTCAGTTGCAAAGCAACTATACAAAGTCACGCATTCCTAAATGCAAATGTGAAATTTTTGACGATGTGGCATGTGTCAAAATGTATCGTAAAAGTTATCGATGCGTATACAGAAAGCAAACTGCGCATCGCTAAGCTAATCGATACTTTGATGACATTTCGAAATAAACAATGGCCGACGTCGAAGGGTAAGATTACATTTTTCTATCCTAATTTATTGCTATATGGAATATTTAAAATGTGCAATATATATGGTTGCAATGCGTCGCAACTCTGCATATACAAACAGTTTGAATACCGCAGTATCCAAACATTGTATTGATACGTTTTGGAAGTCAGCCAAACCTATGAGATATGTGTAAAACAGGCAAATTTTTACAATATGAAAAAAGCACTCCAAAAATCCGTACATCTTGACGCAGAGCTAAATATCCGTACGTTGAATCCGTACGACCATTTTTAACCCTGCAAATACTTACCGTACGAAAAAAATCCGTACTTCTGACAGGGCTGGGAATCGCACGTATTGAAAGTTGCGGTAACCGTGTACGCACTGTAAATATTTTTGATCGGACAAAATGAAATTAAGTTACGAGCAATTATAAGGGTCAACCTATGAAAGCCCAGAGTTTGAAGGGGTATTAAAATTCTAAGTATTCATATTTTTTGTGCTTCATTAAATCTATAACTTTAGTAGTCACACAGTGTTATTATCCCGACGACATCCTTGACGGTGGTACCAGGGGGGAAACCGTACATAACGGTAGAAGGTTTATTTTCGGTTAAAGTCTAACACTGATAACTTAGTTATTAAAACCGACGAATAGTTTTATATCAACTTCTGTGTACTTCTATTTTTGTGTTTTCGTACAACATACCTCTATTAGTTAGAATAATTTTAATTTTAATTTTGTGTGTCCCAGATGCTTTTGCTCAAGCGAGGATTGGACCAGACCTATCAGTAATGTATGTATTGTCTGGGAAAAGATTCAGTTGGTTATTTTTATGTAACTTGCTGACTTTAGCCTTTACAAATTGGGCAGCTATGGGAACATCGTACTTTCTCGCAAAACAAAACCATTTGAGTAAATCCTTTTTTGGTACTCACACCGTTTTAAAGTTTGCCGTTTCCCAAGTCCGGCTTCTATATTTTACAACGCTTTTATCAACTTGCAATGTAGTGTGTCCAGACCACAATTTATACTAGCCGTCATCGATTCGCCACTTCGCTGCTCGCTATGTTTGAGTTCCGGTCGCTTAACGAAAAATTTGCATGTGAAAGCAACAACAAAGTTAGCTGGCAAATATGGACGATAGCGAGTGTGGTTATACCTCATTAATTCGCNGAAAGCAACAACAAAGTTAGCTAGCAAATATGGACGATAGCGAGTTTGGTTATACCTCATTAATTCGCCATCTTCTCGCCGGACTCAATGTTTCCAAGTTTTTCCGAGGATATTAGACGAGTTTTACTATTGTGAATAGTTGAAATGTGAACTGTCAAGCGGTACAAACGAAAAATTGTTATACAAACAGAATATTTGAATAAAAATGGCAACGGAGGACAAATCGTAAGTAATTAATTGTGGATTTATAAATATTTATTACTACAAACTATTAAAATTGTTTTGCAGAAAACGAAAGGTGTGGACCGTCGTAGAAATCAAGGGATTGCTGAAATGCTACTTGGCAAGAAAGGAGGAGTTCCTACATGCGAGAAAAAAGCGAAATGCTTATGCCCACGTCTTGGAAGACATGGTGGCACAAGGTTTCACCGTAAGTTTGAAGTGTAATTTTTTATTGTACAGATCTAAACAAAAAAAAAAAATTATCTAGGATCCAACGACGACCCCAGTAACCTTAGAAGGAAAGATGCGCACTCTGTTGTANGGATTGTACAAATCTAAACAAAAAAAAATTATCTAGGATCCATCGACGACCCCAGTAGCCTTAGAAGGAAAGATGCGCACTCTGTTGTCTGCATACAAGTGTGCAAAAGACAACGCAAGCAGAACCGGTGCCGCACCATGCATTGCTCCGTACATGGATGAGATGGAGGAGATTTTCGGAAACAGTGCGCTGCTTTCCAATAACCACACGCTTAATGTGGGTCATTGTCGAGCATAGCCACTTGGGACGCCACCACCACCTCAACAAGCAGATTCCCCACAACCAGCACTACCCCCACGTCCGACAGCACTTTCACAGCCACCAAGATCCCCACAACCATCANACGCCACCACCACTTCAACAAGCAGATTCCCCACAACCAGCACTACCCCCACGTCCGACAGCACTTTCACAGCCACCAAGATCCCCACAACCATCACTACCTCACCCTCCAACAGCATTTTCACAGCCCACACTGCCCCACCGTCCAACAGCACAGCCATCAAGATCCCTACTGCTACCGCCACCCCCAAGTCCAGCAGCATCAGCACACCCAACAAGATCCCTACTGCTAGTACCATCCAGCAGTTTCACATACAGCATCAGCACTATCTGCGTACCCAACAACATCCCCAATTCCACGAGCATCTCAACACCCAACAACATCCCACCTTGCAGCAACATCCCCATACACAGAACTACGTCCGCAACCAATATCCCCACAACCGGCTGTATCGCCGTCCCCACCTACATCCCCACATCCTGAATCATC